CCACCACTCACGCCCACCCATCCATCCCGCAGGCAGCACCCTCTATCATCCATCATCGATCAGCCAGCCAGCCAGCCAGCCAGTTAGTCACACACTATCGTCCCCCTCCCCGTCCCCCCTCTTGGCAGCGGCGGTGCTACGGCGACCCAGCAACCCTCCCGTCAGCCGACTCAACAGGCCCCCCTGGTGCATGGGGGGCGACTCGTCACCATTCTCGGGGATGCGGAACCTCGGCAAGTTCATGGCCGCACCGCCACCGCCACCAGCGGCAGCAGCAGCTGCAGGAGGGGATTCTTGCTCTGGGGTCTTTTCCTGCTCCTGCTCCTGCTCCTCGGTGGCTTCTGGCTGCTGCAGCTCGTGTGGCTGGGTGCTTGCGATGGCCTTGAATCGTGTGCGTATGATGCAGACGAAGGCGCCGAACTCGATCTGCTTGGCGTTGAGGGCCGTCACCAGGGCGGGCAGGTCAGCGATCGGGGGGTCGCACAGCAACACTGAGTGAGCAAGGGGCAGGGAGTCCACACACAGACAGACAGACAGACAGACACACAGACAGGCAGACAACAAGTGGGTCCATGTGATGTGCGTGGCGTGTGCGTACCTTTGTATTCGGTCTCGTCGTCTTTGAGGTAGAGTTCAAAGGCGTACTCCTTGGCGTCATCGGCCGGGTGCAGGTTCGTGAAGATCACGCGCACGTGGCCCTTGCCCACGGAATCTGTGGGTGCACGTCACATCACATGAGTGTATACCGCCAGGCACACTCGTCCGTCCGTCCATCCATCGGTCTATTGTCACCCACCTACCCACTCACCTGCAACTCGGGAGAGTTTGAGTCCGAGTTTGCGCTGGAAGCTGGATATCAGCACCTCGTACTCGGCGTGACGCTCAACCATCTTGGCCTTCTCGCGCTCGTACACTGACACAACACAACACAACACACCACACCACACCACACATGTCCCAGCGCTTCTCTCCCTGCACGCCACGCCTGCACGTCTGCCTATCTATCTGTCTCTCTCCTCGTATCGTGGTACCTACTTACCTTTCTTTGCGCGTTCTACTTTGGCTTTCATGTGCCCCGTTTCGGTCTCGGCGTTGCGCACGTCCTCGGGCAGACGCTCCAACTTGGACAACACATCCTAAACACACAGATAGATAGACCAGCACGCCGCCATGTGTGTGGCTGAAGGCATCTGTTGCTGGCTGTGAGCATGTTATGTTGCGGACGCTAAGCTGCTGCTGGAAGTCGGCCTCCTTCTGCTGGAAGAGGCCCTCCTCTGATAACACACACCATCAGCAACAACGTTGGCACATGGCAACACGTCTGTCTGTCTGTCTGTCTGTCTGGTGCGGTGGTCATCTCTTGGTCTTTTACTGGCTTGGTACTCCTGCAGCTTGGTCCGGTAGGCAAACACCTCCTTCTGGATCTCACCCAACACACCTGCGCCGCGCCATGGACCCGACCCACATCCGCCCGCCACGCCATCCATCCCACCCCACTTCGATACCTTACCTTGTTTGGTGGTCTTTGAGTCCTGGCATCTCTGCTTGCCGACCTCGGCTATCTTGAGGCACTGGTCGCGGACCTTCTGTGCGACCTCGACCTCCTCCTGCAACGCATCCTTCAGCTGCTGCTGGCTTGCCAACAGCTGACGGATGAACGCTCCGTCTTGCGGTGCCATTTCCCACCCCAATCTCTGTTTGTAAACTTCGTGGGCGAACTTGAAAGACCGTTATTTCGTGGGCAGCGCAGCAGGCCATGGCCCCATTTGGATAGCGCTCGCCCATCATGATACTTAAACCCCATTTGGATAGCGTCTTTGTCGCCTGAAGCATTGATTCAGCCACTTGATTCAGCCCCAACTTGAAGGCTTGCAGAACGATGATGGCCGACTCATTGGGGGCTGACGCCAACATGGACACGAAGGCTCAGCAGGTGGTCAGACAGACAGACAGACAGACAGACAGAGACCAAGACGCCACTCATGTGTCCTGTCTGTCTGTCTGTCTGTCTGTCTGTCGGGGTCAGGAGGATAAGCCAGGGCCTTCATCAGGCCCCAGTTCAGAGGTAGGCACAAATATGCATGGGAACTTGACAGGCCACCCACATGTGCAGGGCGGTGTATCTGCGTCTCTGCTCCAGGAGTGTCGTCACGATGTGCTCGACGGACGGCTGGAGTCGTTGAGAAAGTAGGCAGACATAGCGAAACGATAGAGACATGAATATGCATCATATATGGTGTCTGTCTGCCTGTACCTTCTCCCGCAGGTCTTTGCATGAGAAGCGCAGCCGCAGTCTCAAGATATTCGAGCGCCTGTCCACTGTGGCCGACCGCATCCAGCACGTCACCTTGTGCTCCACGGCACCGGCAGCTGTGGTGATGCCCCCGCCACCCCAAGAGGAGAAAGCAGCCCCGGGCAGCAGGCAGACCACCATAGACCGGCTGGTGGGCGAAGGGAGCCCCTTGAGTGCGTCGTCTAACGAAGAGTGAGTTACCGGAGGGATGTATTGTCTTTCATTCCTTCCATTGCCATTTCTTCTTCTTGCTGTCGGTCGGTCGGTTGGCTTCTTGCAGCTTCGCCCCGGAGAACAAAGCATCGACCAAGCCAGTCATCCCGCCGCTCAACATGTCACGCCTGGCAGACAGCAGAGAGCCGGATCCCCCTCTGGGAGACGCGGAACGGGAAGGCCTGCTGCAGAAACAACACGAAGAGGCGGAATGCGCGCATGCTCGGCAGGGTGACGAGGATGCCGGCGTTGATGAGAGGCGAGAGCAAGGCGGTGACGTCTCTGTCCCCTGTGGCATCCCGAGTCCATTCTTCCAGACCAAGTTGGAAGAGGAGCTGTGGACGGAGGTGTTGCGGCTGCGGCGGGAGAGCGAGGCAGACCAGGACACATGGAACACCAAGATGGCACAGGTGAGGCAGCATGAGACACGACCACATTGGACACATTGGACAAATGGAGGATTCGACTTTTTCTCCTCTTTGCTGGGTGCAGTTTCATGAGCAGCTTTGTCGGCTGGAGGCCGACCAGGCCGAGAAACAGAGCATCATTGACCAACTAACACACACCATCCAAAATGTCCAGGTAAGGACTAGGATCATGCCTGCACCGCAAACAAGACGTCCCTCTATGTGTTGGCCGACAGGCGATTCTGGAGTCGCTCTTTGGCGAGCTGAGAGACATCCGACTGACCATTCGCGGCCTGCGCAGAAGACCTTCCTCTCCGAGAAGGGGAGGCTCGTCTCGTGTTTCTTCCGCCAACCCACGGCAGGGTCGGGCGTTGACACATTCGCCAGCCGTCAAAGAGCTGCCAGCTGTCGTGCCACGCGTCAAGGTGCCCTCAGTACCGCCATTGAAGCTGTCAGACTCCTTGAAGAAGGACAAGACAATCGACAAGGATGAGGACAGCAATGTCCTTCTTCAAGGAGCGGCTAAGACGGAAGTCACAATGTCTCCTCAGTACAGCAAGGCTGCAGCCCCTCCCGCCCTCTTTGCAGCGCCCCTCGCTCCCCCAGAGTCGCCTGTACTGTGTGTCCGCACCCCTCCGACATTCAGATCGTACAATGAGACGACAGGCCGTTCTCCGCCGCCTCTCTGGCTGATCCAGCCGCCTACCACAGCTGGCACTATGGTGCCTGAGGGTGTGGAGACGATGAGAAGCGTCCCAGATGAGGGAGTCAGGAAGACAGTCAAGGGGGGTGTGGTCCCCAAAAAGGGGCTCTTACAAGATCGGCCGCCCTCCGCGAGGAGGGAGAAACGCCCACCACTGGCGCGATCGGTGTCTCTGCCGCCTCCGCATTATAATAGGCCCTTTCGACCGCGATTTGTGCTGCCTCCTCCTCCGCGTCGGCCGCCGCCGCCCTTGCCCCCTGCTTACGTGGTGCGGCCGATGCCTGTGCCAGTGGTGTATATGCGGCCGGTGCCGCCTGTGGCGTATGTGTATGCGGGGGTGGACTCACGTGCAGCGGCGGGGTGTCTGGGTGCATGCAGACCGAAGCACAGAGGACGATAGACTGACAGACAGATCAATCACCCAATCAGTGTATGGATGGTATGTACACATCAGAGCGGTGCGGTCCCGGACCGGAACACACACACGGACATGCAATGCACACGCGTGAATGTCTTGACGGACGTGGTGTCTCAAGCAAAGGGTTCAATCACTGAGCCCCGCCCTCCTTCCTCTTTGCTCTATTGCCCTCACTGAGTGCCCGATAGAAGGAATCAGCGTCCATGACTGGAGCGAGAGGGACAGACGACCACAAATGGCGCCGCTTGTTGATCGTGTGCCCGATGGTAGGCGTAGCCCCGAAGAGCCTTGCCAATGCGGGCTGATCAGTGTACTCGTCCTTGAAGGCTGTCATGGGCCCCTCTTTGCTCTTCTTCATGCACCGCACGGCCGCCACCACCTGCTTGAAGTGCTCGCGGCTGTGTCTGTCACACTTGTCGAGCCACCTTTGCACCAGCCCGTGATGAGCCTGGGCCACCACATCCACAAACGTGACCTGCGACGCAGAAGAAAAAGGCACGCAGCTGGGAGAGCCATGATTCTGTTGGGTGTGTGTGACCTGTGATGGTGGTCTGGGTATCGCCCCCGCTTCGAAAGTGTCGTCGATTTGCTTTTCGTAGGACGTGACAAAGCGGCGATCCGGCGGATAGCCGACACCAACGTCCCACGGAACGCTTTGCTTCTGAAAGGAGGAGACACATACACGAAGCCCTGACGTGAATCACCCATGAGCCGTGGTGTGTATACCCCTTCGAGCCACCGACCCACCCATCCCACAGACCATAGCGACAGGCGCCAGCTTCCTGTATATCTTCTCGAACCTGTCATTGTTAGCAAACGCTGCGCCAACCACAGAGAGCGAGAGAGAGAGAGACAGACAGGCACAAGCATTCATCCCCATGTCATGATGGCACAGATACACGGACAGGCAGCCGCCCGCCCACTTACCCCGTTTATGGAATTTGAAGTGCGCTCTGCTCATCGACACCCACATGTTGCCCGCAAACGAGTCTGGTGGCGTCTCGCTCATACAGTCAAATGTCCTGGCATCGCTGGTCGACTCGCTACTCTCCGCCTCTGTGGGCGCGTGTTGCGACGAGAGGAAGTGTCTCGGCGGGTAGTGGTGGTTAAGCCACGCATTAAGCGTGTTGCTGTACTGAGAAGACGTTGTGATTTCCGTCTCGGCAGCACCAGAGGAGGGAGCTCCTTTCCTCTTTGACTTTGGTCGCCGGTGACTCCGGAGCTGCAGGAAAGCAAAACAAGGCACTTGTGCATCTATGTCTTTGTGAGGTGCTCAGCTGGCGTCTGGTTGTTACCTTCTTATCGAGAAACAGCCGGACGGGCGGAACAGCATACGAGTCTTCGCTTCTGGCCTGCCGTCCTGGCCTTCTCTCGTCAGGCAGAGAGCGGGCACCGATGGACGGCAGGTGGCCCTTCTCTTGGTGCAGGCTTGCTGGTGAGCTGTGGGCAGGGACGGCCGCCTGCCGCTGCACTGTCATACCGGCGTGGGGAGGAGGGAATGTCTTGGTGCGCCTGTGGAGGGAGGGGGTGCTCCTGTCATCACAAAGGAGAATTGTGTCTTTTGGGGCGGTTTGTCCTCCTCACTCACTCACTCACCCACTCATTGACTCACTTTGTCTGCGGCGGCGCCTTCGTGAGCGTTTTTGTGAGCGCGTTGTCCTTCTTGGGGCTGCCGGGCACAGACGCTGCTTCTGCGCGTGTCTCAGCCTGCTCCTCCCCCCTCTGTATGGCGCCGTGTACGGTGAGCAGGGAGTCGAGCATGCCCAGGAAACGCCGCTGCTCCAACTCGCTCCGCCATTTCTGCAAGAGAGAGGACCGCACTGACACTGACTCATCCGCCAAACATGAATGGGTGTACATGCATTGCTTCGTCATGACGGTGCGTACGTGCCACTCCAGAAGTGAGGGCAGCTCTTCCTTGAACAGAGTTGTCACGAACGACTCGCGGCAAGACTTGATTGACTCTCGCTCGGCGGCCATTTTCTTCTCAGCGAGCTCAGCTCCCCCCAGCGGCCCCCGCATGCATGCCATTGCAGACGTCTTTTCCGTCTCTGAAATATTCACTGGATGAGCTTTTTTCGGCGATTTCTTGCCGCTCCTTCGAAAACTGGTGGTGCTTCGGCCCTCGGCTCGCAAAAAGCCGGTTTTCCGGAAGAATCTCCCCCCGTCTGCAAAAATGGCGCTTGTGTTGCCTCACGAGGTCTGGCGAGACCAGGTGGTGTCCAATCTCGGCGTCTGCGACGTCAGCAGGGTCAGATCCTCGTCACGCCCCAGCGGCACCTCCGTCATCGGCTGTGATTTCATCTTGCGGCGCATCGACGCATTGCTGAGGCGCTATGGGCTGAGTGGGCTGATTGACGTCGATAGACATGGCGGGGCGGCTGGGGCGGCTCCGCTGCCCGGCGGCCTCTCGCGCATCGACTACCTGTGCCCGCGTGCTGTATCTGCTGGAGCGTGGTGGCCGTCGGTGGGCGTGGCTGGGCGGCTTCCTCCGCTTGGCGGCCATCTATCGGCTGACCCCCACGATGCCTCTGGTGATATCGGCTGAGTGGGTGCAGCAGCACTGGCCCATCAGGGCCGCCCTGCACCAGCTGCAGCTCTCATTGGCCGTCTACAAGACCATCGGCCATCTGCTCAGCTACCAGGGCGACAGCCTGGCCCTGACCACAGACGAGCAGACTGGCGAGAATGGCGAGGTCAGTCACATCAGACGGGACATTCACGAGTGACGTGTGCTGTCGTCATGCCGTTGCCATACGTCTGTGTCTGCAGGATGGTGGGCCTGACGAGAGCAGTGGCGAGAATGAGGACCGCCAGGAGGGCGAGGTGGCGGAGCCGATAGAGCAGGATGGTGACGAGCAGGTGAGCGACACGTGCTGCACTCCTGACGCACACAGACGTGTGGATGCCACGGTATCGACCTGTTGTAGGATGATTTGATGGAGAGTGTCCCCGACCAAGGGCAGCACGAGCCTCCCCTGCCTCCCTGCCCCTCTGCCTCCGAATACGACACCTGGCACTGGTGCCGCAGCGGGGCTCCCCCCTCACAAGAAGGCGATGACGAGAGTGACGAGAGTGATGAGAGTTACGAGAGTGACGACAGTGACGACCACCACAACTATCCCCACAAGGTCGGCGATGTGCGGTTCTGCATTCTGCCGACCGATGAGGCCCCGGGCAACCAGCCCTACGACACAGACGACCCGGCCGTTGAGGAGGACGGTGTTTTCCGCTACTCGTCATCCTCGGCCTTCATGACGGACAACCTCATGTGCTACTGGTCCGGTCGCGAAGGAGCCGAGGATGAGGCAGCGGGCGACCAGGAGATCCTGATGGCGTCAGTCCCACGCAATGATGCCCGTCTTCGGTCCCTCATGGCCACAGAGGCCTTCGGCGACTGCATCGTGGCGGACACGCATGACGAGGATGGGGGGGATCTGCCTTTGGGACGCACCGTGGTGCTGTGTGGCCACCGGTCGAATGAGACCGTCGCTGCGCACCTGCGAGTTGCGCGTTGGAGCACACACATTGACATAGAGATCTTCACGACAGAGGGGTGTGTGGGTGGCGGTGTGTCTGTGGATGAGTGCTATCCCATTACCGTCCGCCATGCCCGTGATGTGCTCAGACGAGTCAGACTAGAGAGGGAGGTGGTAGACCAGGGCAGGCGCATGGATGACGACGACGACGACGACGAGTAGTCACCCACGTTGCCTGTTCGTGGGAGGCTTCGCGCGTTGAGTGTGCGCCTGTCTGTCTGTCTGTCTGCCTGTCGACTCGTTTTGCTGTCCGCTCAGAGATGGACGGCCTTGGCCTTCATTCGATGAGTTGTGTTTCAGTCAATCCTGCGTGCCACCTCTACCACACCACACCGCACCCCGCCACACCACACCACACCACACACGTGCACACGAGGAAATGTCATAGTGTTTGAGAGCCGCCACTCAGCGCGCATTCTTTATCAATCATCTCATCTCGTGTAGAGAGAGCTACACACAAATACTTCCTGTCCAGTCAGCAAAACCGGCAGAATATACGACATGAAGCGACAGACAGACAAGACAGACAGACAGACAGAGAGGCCGGCCCGGTCATCCATCTATCTGTGTGGATCTGCGCCACCCACTGTGGTTGGGTAGGTGACTGGCTGCTGGTCAGTCAGTCAGCCCGTCCATCCCCCATCCCCCCAGTCTGCTCGCCCTTGCCCTCCGCCGCACCACCGACTGACACGTGTCTTCTCAACCCTTCCTGACCACCCCTCAATCCTTGCTGATGATGAACGGCCGCAGAGGAGGGGCCACCACCCACACCTGTGGCCACACGCACCCCTCTCCGCTGCCGCATCAACGTCTGGTCCTGTCTGGCGGCCTCGTCACGATCCTCCTCTGGAATATATGTCAGATCCGTCTGCCCCCTTGCCAGATGGTGGTGGTGCTGCTGCTGATGATGAGTGGCGCTGCCAGGGGGTGGAGGGACAGGGATCGGCTGCCGCGGGAAAAGCGACGACATGGGCGAGTCTCCGTCGGTGCTGGAGCCGTAGAATCGCTCTCGCTCCCTGAGGTTGCTCTCTCGGTGGGTGAGGAAGGGGAACTGGAATGGCTGGAAGATGCTGTCGGCGTCAGAAGACGATGCGCATTGGATGAGGTAGTGGCCCACTGCGTCGCTTGCGTTGGGGTGGGCGGGGGTGAATGAGGGCGGCAGGAAGGCCGACAAATCGCGCACACACTGGCAGACAGACAGACAGACAGAGAGGCGGACAGCAGGAGAGACACGCCGTCCACGTGCTCTGTGTCTTCTCTGGGAGGCATCTTCGCATTCCCTACTTGAGTGGCGGCGATGAGTCGATGGTCAAGTTCCCTTTGGTCCGGCACCCTCACCCACCAGTGCGTCACAAACCTCCCCAGCCAGTCGACCCATCCGCTCACCCACTCAACCGCCACACTCCACATCGACACCACCGGCCGCCACCTCAACCACGCTCTCAATCCCCGGCTGTCTCGAGCACTGGCCTGCACACGTGGTAAAGGTGGGGGAGGGGGGCCGGCCTCACGCAGCGAGCCTGAGCGCGCCAAAGGCGTGTTGCGGTAGGGGGGAGCGGGGTGTGGGTGTCGCCTTTTCGGCTGCTGCTGCGGCTTTGTGGCTGCTGCAGCAGGCTCTTCGGCTTTGCGATTGGCGACGGGTGGGCTGTGTTGATGGTTGTCGTCCTCCGCCTTTATCGCAGCAGCCTTGGGGATCCACGGCAGCTTTGTCGTGTCTGCGGCCTCACTTGCTGGTGGCTGTGGCTGCGGCTGCGGCAATGGTGCCTCCTCTTCCTGTGTATTCCGCCTTGTTCCACTCCTTCCCCCACCCCCACCCCCAGCGGCAGCGGCAGTTGGCTCGCTGAAGAGCCCTATCTTGCCTTTGCCGCTCTTGAGCTTGCTGACAAGAAGGTTGTTCTCCCACTGCGACAGTAGGTGCTGCAGAGGACCTTGCTGCTGCTGTTGTCTCTGCTGCTGCTGTCTCTGTCTCTGCTGCTCTCGGTCTGGGTGGTCCTGTGTGGTGGTGATAGTGGGGGTGGGTGTGTGTGAGGGGGATGCAGGCGCGTCACGGTCCCCGCTGATGTCCATGAAAGTGGGGTGGGGCTGGGGAGGCGGCGGAATGTGTGGATGGTGGCTGTGGGCGGCCGACAGGGCATCACGCGGCGGGGAAGACAGAGACCGCGGGTGGCCGTGGCTCGGCTGGGGAGATGACGATGCTGAGAGGGACTGTGTCGTCTTGCCTTCCGCTCTCAATGTAGGGTCGGACTTGATGGCCTTGACCAGCACCCATCCGAACACCGCCGTGCGCACGATCAGCTGTGGCAGCATCGACAGGAGGAAGAGGCCGATCGACACGAGCCCGCCGCCACAGAGGATGATGAGCAGCCCCAGCCGGCTGATGTCCTCGTCTTGCCACCCGAAGGCCACTCTGATCTTCTCCCCCAGGCACGCAATGCCGCCGGCGAGTTTCTGCACGCCGCCCATGAGCTTCTGCGTGTTGTGGAAGGACTCGAGCACCGACCCCTCGGGCAGGGCATTGCCGAAAACTGGGAAGGGGTGGCCGTCCTGGTCGATGGCCACCAGGTCGAAAGCGCCGAAGGGCGTGTCGACGCCCCATCCCTGCTCTCGCTTCGCCTGCGACAACACGGATGGGTGAGCGCCGCTCGACGTGGGCGTGGCCGTCTCGTCGCCGCTGCCCACCCCATTTGGCTGTCGTTGAGGCGCCTCTGCCGCCGATCCCCAGTTGCTGTGGTCGCCGTGAGTGGTGGCTGACGGATGGTGTGCCGCTGCCTTTGGCTGCTGGTCGTGCATGGGGGGCGCCTTGGCGGGGGATGCCGGCTGGGAGGGCACTAGGGGCGAGAGAAACGACGCGTCAGCCGGCCACTGGGGGAAGGCGAACGGCCCCTTGCTCTGCAGCGCGTCCCAGAGAGACGAGAGGGCCTTCCTGCTCCTGCTGAAATCAGGCGCATCCTGCTGCGAGAGCTGCCGTGGGAGGGACCTCTTGAGGATGCCTCCTCCCCCTCCCCCTCCCCCGGCCTTTGGCGTGATGGCCGCACCCACAGTGGTGCTGCGGGGGCTCCTCACCGTGGCCACCTTCCTCTCAACAAGGCCTTCCGAGTGGTTGCCAGCCAGGTCGTCGAAATGCCGGTCTAGGGCGCGTTTCGCCAGCCGCCCTGCGCGCTCATCCACTGGCTCTTCGCGCATCGCCGCCTCGAGTAGCCGTGGGCGGATCACCAGGTCGCTGTCAGAGCAGTTTCGCCGCATGGTGTCAGGCGTGGGTGCCTCCTCAGCTCCCGTTGTGGACCCGCCGACGTCACTCATGGCGCGTCGGAGAGGCAGCGACTGCCATTGAGAGGACAGCAGCACGAGCAACGATGAGGGGTCCAGCTGCTCCTGATCCGGCATGTCAGCTTTGGCCGCCACGGGCGGCGACATGGCCGACGCCATCGGCCGGGTCGACGCCTCCGATGCCTCTTCTGTCTGCTTGATGGGCAGTGTTCTGGCGCCGGTCTGTCTGGCGAGCGTCGAGAGCTTGAATGGGTTGCGCCTGGTGCGGCCGATGGAAGCAAACGATCTCATGAGAGAGCGCAGCGGCTTCGGTGGCTGGCCGGGGAAGACCGGCGTGGGCATAGACGCAGGGGGCTTCCTCGTGCGCGGCTGTGCTTGTGGCTGTGGCTGTGGTTGTGGCTGGTCCTCGGCCTTGAGAGGGGGAAGGAGAGGGGCCTGGTCGGGGGACGACGTGGTGGATGCCGGCAGGGACGGCTGGTCGATCGCCCCGGGCTGGCTGAACAGTGGCCGCATGAAGCTCAGCAACGGGCTCGGCACACCGCCATCAGCAGCACCTGTTGCTGCTGCTGCTGCTCGCTTCTTGGCGCCGTCCCCCTTATGCTGCGGGGTGCTCTTTGCACGGTGCCTTGCCGTCCCTGCTGCCGCTGCTGACCGTTTCGGGTGCAGCTGCCTGTCATCCGGCCACCACGCGTAGAAGAGCGAGATGCAGACGAGGCAGCAGGACACGCACGCGGGGATCTGCCACATGGGGGCGCGGACGACGGCAAATGCGAGGAACGACCAGAAGGCGGCCACCAGGAGGCTCTGTGCCGGCGTGCGGTAGGCCGCGGGGTCGTTGCTGAGCAGATGGAGGAACTTCTTGGTCCACCGTGGGTGGTGCTGCGTCAGCTGCTCAACCCGCTTCACGTAAGACTCCATCAGCTGACAACGGGCCGCAAACACACCACACTCATGAGTGGATGCGCGTGTGTGAGTGGTACTTAGGCACTTGCGCGTGGCTGCCTACTTACTTGTGGCTCGACACGGTCGGGCACGATCCACTCCTGGTATGGTGGTTGTGTGTTGAGGTGGACGCAGCGCGTGAATGAGGGGTATGGTGAGGTGAAGGCGATGCGCAGATGGAGGAAGCCCAGCGTGACGCCAGGGCCTTTCATGCCCCACTCCGGGTGACCTGACCACCGACAAAGAACACACACACACACACACACAGAGAGAGAGAGAGAGGTAGCTAGCTAGCTAGCTAGCAGCGTGTCCTGCCTTGCTTCCTCCCTGCCTGCCTCCCTGCCTCACCTCTGACGGCCCTGTGGTATTTGTTTTCCCTGTCGCCCTCTTCATATGGGTAGAGGTGCACCCAGAAGTCGGCCACCTTGCGCTCGCCCCGGTAGGCCGCACGGTCTCGCGCCGCCTCCTCCACACCCGACACCGACACGTCCACCACTCGCCCCCTCTCCCTCCCCTGCTGACCCAGCACCGCACCGCGCATCTTCTCGGCCTCCTTCGGACGATCGAACGCCTGGAACTCCCTCTTGAGGTCCTCGAGAAAGCTCTGCGGCTGCGAGAACCGCCTCTCCTTCTTTGGCTTCTCGGTGGTATCCTGGTCGGGGGATAAGGGCGGCTGGAGGCCCTCTGCGTGATGCACCTGGGCGAAGAAGTGCTCACTGTCGCAGCTGAGGAGGTTGGCGATGGGGATAATGGCGCGTGCGTAGCCGATGGAGGGCGGGAGGGGGGAGGGGGCGTGTTTCTTGGTGTGCGGCTGGAACAGGGGCTGATTGAACGGGTTGGGGGTGTCCTTGGGCGTCGTGTGGCGGACATCCACCAGGATGTCGCCGCGCAAATCACGGGGCATCAACAAAAGCGTCTGGGGCAAGCAAGGCAGAGAGAAGGAAAACAATCACGATGGATGGAAACACACACATGCACACACGTGATTGATGCACGCACCCGGTAATACGCACCTGGTTCCAGTCCACCCGTGGGTATGGCTTCTCCATCATGACCTTGGGCGTCGTCGTGGACTTCCTGTCCTCACACGAGACCTCCACCCAATACCGCTCCCCCCTCCCACCACCCCTCCTGCCGCCCCCCAGCAGTAGCCCGCTCAACACATCAACAGAGAACTGCCACCGAGCAACCTCAGACGCCCTCTGGGGAGATGGGAATGATTCTTCTGGCGGGGGGAAGGGGCATGGCGGGGAGGGCGAGTTAGCACGGGGGGCGGGTGACGGCTGGGCTGACTGGTGCTGCTGTTGTTGTAGTTGTGGCTGTGATTGTGGTTGACTGTGCCGTTGGCTGAAGAGCTGGACTGATCGGTTGTCCGACACATAGGCGAAGTTCTTGAGGAGGAAGTTCTTGGCGTAACGAACGGTCCAGTTGCCACTCTTGAGCTGACAGACAGATGAACCGACAGCATACATACAGACAGTCAGACAGTCAGACGGACGTGACAAGAGATTGTTATTGATCAGATAAGTGTGCCTTGTCCCTCTCTTCGTTGGTGTGTGTTCACATCCACCACGCATAGACAGAGCTCACATTCTTGTCGATGTCCTCGAGTCCTTGCTCTAGCTTGTCGACTGACAGCCAATGACCCACCACCTTCTCTATCCAATGCAGGCCCAGTCCTGATGGATGGATGGATGGATGGATGGATGGATGTACGGAAAACACATGAATCTTGCGGTCGGCCATGTGTACCTTCTGTCTGCTGGTCTGATTGTTAATTACCTCGCTCGTCGGCTGCGGTCATTGCGGCAACGGAGCCCCGCCAATCATGTCAGAATGGCTGCATTCTCGTACGTGAATGCATTGGACAGCGACCTTTCTTCTTCTTCTCTCTTTTCTTCTTTTCTCCCCTCCCCGCGAGCTTATGTGGGGAGCTCGCAGGACCCCCGATCTCCCCCCACTTTGTTCCTTTTTCCCTTCCCGTCACACAGCCCCGTTCCCATCCATCCCCTTTGCGTGAAACTGCCCACCCCACATCCATTCAGACTCCCACCCCACATCCCGTCCTTCCAACGTTCCCCCCCTCAGTTTCCTTTGTCTGTCCTTGACGATGCGCGAGATTGTCCACATCCAGGGAGGCCAATGTGGCAACCAAATCGGTGCCAAGGTGAGTGAGGGGCGCTGTGTGTTATGTGGACAACGAAGCCCCATTGCTTGGTGACTGCGTGTAGTTTTGGGAGGTGATATCGGATGAGCATGGCGTTGACCCAACAGGAGCGTATCACGGCGACTCCGACCTCCAGCTGGAGCGCATCAAGTACGTCCTTTCACGAGGCGCATTCCATTCATGGATGGGGAGAGGAAGCAAACGCCCCAGCTGTGTGTGTTGATGTTTGCCTTCAGCGTCTACTACAGCGAGGCTACGGGTGGCCGCTATGTCCCCAGAGCCGTGCTCATGGACCTGGAGCCCGGCACTATGGACGCCGTCAGGGCCGGGTGGGTGCGGCATGCAAAGAACGAAGGACTGTGTCCATCTTACTTACTGTCTAGCTCTGTCTGCCTCTCTTCGTCGTCAGTCCATTTGGCAATCTGTTCCGGCCGGACAACTTTGTGTTTGGCCAGAGCGGCGCGGGCAACAACTGGGCCAAGGGCCACTACACCGAAGGCGCCGAGCTGATCGACTCCGTGCTGGACGTGGTGCGCAAGGAGGCCGAGGGGTGTGACTGCCTGCAGGGCTTCCAGATCACCCACTCACTGGGTGGCGGCACGGGCAGCGGGATGGGCACTCTGCTGATCAGCAAGATCCGCGAGGAGTACCCAGATCGCATCATGTGCACCTTCTCGGTCTTCCCCTCGCCAAAGGTCAGCGACACCGTCGTCGAGCCCTACAACGCCACACTCAGCGTCCACCAACTCGTGGAAAACGCCGACGAGGTCCAGGTCATCGACAATGAGGCACTCTACGACATCTGCTTCAGAACACTCAAGCTGGTCGGTCGGTCAGACAGACAGACAGACAGACAGACATGAATGAGTCCACATGTCTGTCTGTCTCTGTGTCTCTTTTTCATCGTACCGTACCCCGTGTCTGTCCATGAATGCTGCATACGTGTGTATGTGTGTGTCTCCATGTCTGCGTGCAGACGACGCCCACGTATGGCGATCTGAACCACCTGGTGTCGGCAGCCATGTCGGGTGTGACGTGCTGCCTGCGGTTTCCCGGTCAGCTCAACAGCGACCTCCGGAAGCTGGCTGTCAACCTCATCCCGTTCCCGCGCCTCCACTTCTTCATGATCGGCTTCGCTCCACTCACCTCACGCGGCAGCCAGCAGTACCGCGCACTCAGCGTTCCTGGTCAGTCGCTCTAACGCTGCAAGAGCGCGACGCACTCTCTCCCTCTGTCTCGTTGTGTGTGTGTATTGATTGTGTCTGTGCACCAGAGTTGACGCAGCAGATGTTCGATGCGAAGAACATGATGTGCGCGAGCGACCCCCGCCACGGGCGGTATCTGACTGCAAGTGCGTTGTTCCGCGGGCGTATGTCGACCAAGGAGGTGGACGAGCAGATGCTGAACGTGCAGAACAAGAACAGCAGCTACTTCGTTGAGTGGATCCCCAACAACATCAAGAGCTCCGTGTGCGACATCCCACCCAAGGGCCTCAAGATGTCCGTCACATTCATCGGCAACTCTACATCCATCCAGGTCACTCAGACAGACAGACAGACAGAGACACAGTGTGGCATACATACAGGGTGGTTCAGAAATGCGCCGTCTCTGTCTTGCACGCCTTGATCGCGTTTGTTTGTTTGTTGATTGCTTCGTTCCTTCAGGAGATGTTCAAGCGCGTTGCCGAGCAGTTCACAGCGATGTTCCGCCGCAAGGCGTTCCTGCACTGGTACACTGGCGAGGGGATGGACGAGATGGAGTTCACTGAGGCCGAGAGCAACATGAACGACCTCGTCAGCGAGTACCAGCAGTACCAGGACGCTACGGCTGAGGAAGGCAAGCAAACCACTGCACAAACAAACGGACATCAACAGAGAGAGAGAGAGACGCACACCAGAGAGATGGAGAGAAAGGGAGACATGTGCAGGGGAGAGAGAGTGAGGGACAGATGGCTGCTGCTCATGAGGTGTGTGTGTGTGTGTTTTGGTATGTTGATGACCAGAGGGTGAGTATGAGGATGAGGAGGCCGAGGAAGCCGACGTAGGCGGCGAGGCCGACGACGAGTGAACAAGTCAAGGGAGGCACAGACAGACATATATATTCAGTGCAACCAACGGTCCAAGCTGTCATCCATATTATCTGTCTCCGTCTGCGGTCGGCCGAAAAACAAATGGCTGCTTCCTTTCCTCCTTTTTGCCTTGCCGTGTTGTTGCTTGTTGGTACTGTTGTCTGACGAACGAAGAAGCGAAGAGAGCTTGTTGTTCAGTTGTCTGCACATGTGCTAGTTTCAGGTCTGATGAGCGAACGAACAGGAACAGAGGCAGCTGAACTATCGGCTGCCTAATCGATCGACCAAAGCCCACACACATATGTACATTCTTTGTACGAGAAAACGCCACGCCCCAGCTGACGGAAAAACAGGGGGGCTGGTATGCTGGATGACGACACATCAATCTGATCTGCCAAGGATCTACGTACCGTACCGTCCGCTTGCGCGTCGCGTCAACCCACCCGGCCACCCTTCCACCAGGCCCACCCACATTACATTCACCAACGCACGCAACGCAGGCCATCGATAGATACACTTTGACCCATATCTATCGACAGACATTGGGACACGTCACAGCATCAGACAGACAAAAAACACAACGAACGAAAAACAAAGAGCGATCGAACCAATAGCTAGGCTGCCTGGTACACGTACGTCACAGATAAACCACGTCACGGCTCCAAAACACACATGATGTGTCTAATTAATTGTCCAGCGTCCCCGACCGGCCCCTGCGCAGAGCCCCCTCCCCATTCATGGTCGTGTCAGCCACCAGTGGGCCATCGGCGCACGCATCGAACTGCACAACACACCACAGAACGTACGTACGCACAATCAGACATACATGCATTTGGCATCCATCCGTCCGTCGATCTCACCTGCGTCTGTTGGATGATGTCCGCTTCGTCGGTGTCGGTGTCGCTGGCCGTGTCTGTCTCGGTGCCGGCGTCTTTGCTGTCGGTCACCTTGGTGTATGGGACGCCGCTGCTGCTGCTGCCGGTGGGCGTGACTCGGTCGCGCTTGTAGGTGAAATGCAAAGAGCCGAACACCACAAAGCACACCGACCACGGAATCAGCTGACACGCGACACACAGGCAGGCAGGCAGGCAGGCACGGGCTTTACACACGAATGGTGTCCTCTCTCACATCGGTCACTTACCATGGCCACGGTCAGGGAGTTCGCGAGAGCATTCAGGTTGTGGGTGCGGACCTCCTCGGCCATGCTCTTGACATCCTCTGTCTGCATCTTGTAACCGTAAAACATCTGCAGCCGATCCCCACGCACAGCAAACGATACATACCCGCACACGTATACACAAAAGGAAAGTTACGCCGGCCCGGCCACACTATACCTTAGCCAGGAGGGCCACGGTTGGTACGCCGAACAAAGCCGCAGAGGAGCCCTCAATCGCCACCAACCACGAGAAGATGGTGGCGCGGTCACATGGGTCGACGATATCGGTGAGCACCGGCCTGTTGGTGGCCGACGGACACCACGACGCCACCTAAACACATACATATTCGACACAGCATGCTTATGCTTACACACCAAGGCCCTTTCTCGCCCTCACTTACGAGGCCAAGGAGGAGCATCAGGACGAAGTAGCCGAAAAACCACTCCGGCAATCGTGGCATAAGCTGCAGGATAATCGCCGTCGTGGGGATGCCCAGGAACACCGACAGCTGTGCAGCGAGCGGCCGCCCGTGTGCGTCGCTCCATTTGGCGAGCTTGTCCCCCACATAGCCGCCGAGCAGCCCCCCCAGCCCTCCACCTGCCTGCAGAGCGGCCCAAAGCACAGCTGCCTGGCCGTCCTCCATCTTCATGTACTGAAAGTATACACACTTCATGGTATGCATTGCGATCAATGATCCGTGTACGAAGTCACTCGACGACCAACCTGAAAGTACATCGTAAACCAGCCTTCTTGGTTGCAGCGAACGAATAACAGGCATAGGCATGGATGCAGTGCACAGCGGGAATGAGTGATTGATCGGATGAGCGGTGCTTTGATACACTCCTCACTCATTGCGTTCCAAGGGACGGCGCCTGCATGAGTGAGCATGTATATGGATATCGACATCATGTATGAGCACTCATTGCTGACCGAAGATGCCTTGGCCCGCGAGGCACCAGAAGCTCGGCTTACGAAGCGACCGCATCAGCTTCCGAGTCTCGCGCTTGACGCCGGCACATACGCGCGATACACGAGTAACACCCTGATAGCAGGTGGAAGTGAATGTGAGGTATTGTTGATGCGCCGGTGCGTGTGAATGGATACGGACCTGTGCTGTGGGAGTCATGGGCGCGCTGTGTCTGGGCACTTGGAGGTTTGACGCACAGATGACGACACCCAGGCCTACACTCATCAGGCCGACCATGATAAACCCGACTCGCCACCCAGACACGCCTGCAGTGCAGCCCTCACAACACACACAATGCGCAAAAGGATGCATGGCCTGGCACTAGCTGTATATCTCACTACCCACCCAGCAGGGCCATCTGTGACACGGTGGTGATGACCAGGCTGCCTATGATGCCGCCAAAGTTCTGCGACAGCTGCACCCAGCCAAAAGCGATACCTCGCTCGTCCACCGCAAAGAGGTCAGCAATCATGCTGCACAAAGTCCAGCAGGCGCCCTATCGACTTGACTTGCGTCTGCCTTACCCACCGCACCCACATGTGGCGCGGGCCCTACCTTTGGGAGAGCGGGCCCACACCTGACCATCAGATACACATACAGACACCAAACGACGCATGTGTCGCCTGTGTCCATGTAAGTGTGTTACGTGTGTGCTGCACCTACTCGCAAGAGCTATGCCGTTGATCGACCGCAGGATGGCCATCTGGCACCCAACGCAGATGTCAATCGTGTGTGCCGACACCATATCCGTTGCCCATCCCTCCGCCAATGCTCACCTCCCACAGGGTCGACGAAGCCGCCAGGACTATGGTCACCACCCCCCAAAGGACACACCCGACACACAGCACACTGACAGACAGACAGACAGACAGACAGACAGACAGGCAGGCAGGCACAGACAGGCAGGCAGGCAGGCAGGCGCGCGACACGCACGGGCAGACAAACAGTGAGCGTTCGTGCTTGTCTGTCTACGTGTGGTCTCTATACTTTGGCCTGCTGTAGCGGTCCGCAAGGAAGCCCCACAAGGGCGCAGACAGTGATTGGAACAGGCATTGGTAGAGGGACAGCTGGCCCAAATCAGTTGGCTGCAGCTGCAACTCCCTTTCCAGTGCACGGAAAGTCGATGGTAGCAGCTGCCAATCGGCACCTGAGCCCACACAGGGAGGCCACAACCACACCAACGCTGCGTGGTGGCCACACCGGGTCTCCCGTGCAGTGCATCGAGAGGCGGCTCACCGTCGAGAGCACACGCCATATTGAGAAGATTCTGATAACAAGCAGATGCACATCCACGCACAGAAACCACCGCACCCCTGCTATCCCATTTGCTTACGTACTTGGGTTTTCCTCCTGACCGCATCGTCACTGTCGGCGCACTTTTGCAAAGCGGCAGCGTCAGCTGTGCTGTCGTCATCCACACACAGCACCGACAGAGAGGCCCCGTCACGCAGCGCCTTCATTGCCACAGCTGCTGCACCAGCGGCACTTCAGTCAGCACCAGTCAGCACACCACAACGAGGATCTTGCTGCCCGTTGCCTGAAGCCGCGGATCTGGTCTGTGGTCTGTGTGGCATTACAGACGGCGCAAAGAACGGGTTCTTCGCCTCGCCTTTCTCCTGCGCTTCCACGATAGTAACGAAAAGGCCGGGAAAAGCCGACAAGGAACAAAAGCGAGAGAGGAAAAAACTCCCGATCGCTTCTGCGAGCTCAGAAGTGCAAAACCAACTTGTGCCAGAAAAAGGCTTAGGTATCGTGTGCAGCACAGAGAATGCCATCAGGAACAAGATCCTGCAGAAACGCATTGTTCTCCTTCCATCCCCTTTGACTGACTGCCGGCGTTGTTGCCACAGAGGCGTCCATATCTGTCCATCGGGAAATCCACGATTGTCATGTTGATAGCGCGTTATTTCGACCAGAGGCGCGGCGAGGCCGCCCAGCAGAAGTCGGCGCAGCTGCATCCGGACATCGCCCTGTCGAGTGGAACTGTCGCTGCCCGCCTGGATGGGTGGCTGCCGCACCGGCCGCCCATCGAGGCGCTCATCGCCCGCGGCATCTTACGAGACCCCTATGAGAAGCAGCTCATATGCGATCGGCTGGAGCGGTTTCTCCGACAGAAGGTTGCCGAGAGGGACCTGGCGCACATCACGGGCACTGCCGAGTACGACCCCTCCGTTGCGGCCTACCTGATGGACAATGGCCTGACGCAGCTGGCGCACCTCAATGCAGAGGGCCGCATCGCCACTCACCTGTCGGATGTGGAAAAGCAGCTGAGGGCGGCACGTGATGACGACGAGCGGCTAAGGGCGGCGATTCCCTCACACGTGAAGGAGAGGAGGGAGGAGGCCAGCCGTCTGATCGAGCAGGCGACGGCCATCCAAGACTCGACGGAGAGGGTGGGCAAGCAGCTGTGCGACCAACTCTACAGCACCGAGGACGGCACTGATGGGCTGCCGTCTGTGGAGCAGATGAAGCGCATGATTGAGGAGTCCCGTGTGGCTTTGCGGAAGCAGCAGGTGATCCAGCGCCAGGCGCACTTTGTGGCCGCCCTGGAGCAGATGGTCAAGATGACCGACCAGGCACGGCAGCTGGTTTTCCACCGCACCGACGAGGCCGTCCGGCTGACGCATGAGGCCCTGCGTGTGTGCGGCAAGCTGCCCCCCAACAGCCGGGAGGTCGGCACCCAGCGCGTCCTCTTCGTCCTCCAGTACGCCAAGAACCACTACCTGCAGGCAATACACCGGCAGATCGACAGCCCTCGCGTCAAGTGGGGAACCATCACATTGCTGCACCAGCCCGACGCAGGCGAAGGCCATGTACCTCTACCCTCCCCCTCTCAGTCGGGAGGCCCCCATCTCGATGGTGATGAGAGCGTCAAGGCGGCCATCCTGGAGTCTGTGGCTGCCCTGGTGTGGGTGCAGAAGATCGCTGCGGCCGCCACGCAGCTGCTGGAAAGGGGTGTGGGGGCGGACGAATCGTCGGTGCATGTGGAGCCGGCTGAATGGTGGTGCTTTAAAGCACTGGCTGTCAAGCCCATCGCGGCTTTCAGGTGAGAGGACAGACAGACAGACAGACAGACAGACAGAGAGACAGACCACGTGTGTCGATTGATCCATGTCATGTATGTGTCACACATGACATGTATCGGCATCGCATCAGGTACCACTTCATGTCGTCAACGAGTCCGCTGTGCCGTGTGGACCGGCCCGAGTGGGCCTTCAACTTCATGCTCGACCTCTGCACGCAGCACGCAGCCGCACTCGACACCATATGGCCCCCACCTACCGCACAAGAACAACGACAGCAACAGCAACAACAGGAAGGACAGCACCAAGACGCCAGCAGTGAGCTGACCGCCGCAAGTCTATCGGCTCTTCCAGCTCTCGACGTGTCGGAGTGCTTGGGGCACCAGCTGGCGGATGAGGTCCGGCTGCTCGTCCGGGCCCACATGCGGCTGATTGTCTTCCAGAAGCCAGCTCCTGCTCAGACGGAGAGCGGCCCTCAGCAGACGGACTTCCGTGGCCTCCTGGACAAGACGCAGCAACAGGGGCCAGAAGAGGCACCCGAAGCAACCAGCACCCTCCCCCAAGCCGCCCGTGCCCATGTGTCGCCTGCGTCATCGGCTCTGTTCCTGCACCTGATGACACACCTGCTCGAGTTGTTCCGCAGGTGGGAGCGCGTCAACGTGACGTCGGCCTTCGTCCTGTTCAGAGACTTCAATGACAACTTCCACCTGACGGCATCCTCCCAGGACACAGCAGACGCACCCACACAGCAGCCACCACACACCCACAAACAGCAGCGGCACCAGCAGCAGCAGCAGCAGCAGGAGGGTGCGGCAGAGAGGCCCCTTGCCGACATGCTCTCTGACCTGAAGGCCAACCTCGGCCAGACGGACGCGCCCGTTGGTGATGATGACGATGAAGCAAATGCGGCCGGTGGGGAGGGTTGGGACGTCGATCTGGACCTCCAAGGCGAGTATGAGCAGGGAGAGACGCTGACAGAGCAGCAGGGCCACACCGAGGGAGAAAAGGAGAAGGCCAAGGGGAAAGACAGAGGTGATGGTGATGGTGTGGGCATGTTGGACTACTGGATGTACCACGACCAGCAGTTCGTCATGGCCAAGCTGGACGAGGTCCTCAGAGCCACAGCCGTCCCCCAACAAGCCTGGCAGCCCCAGACACTCTACCTCGCCTCGAGAGCCGACGAACACGCCACGAGCAGCAGCCCACCTGCTGCTGCAGAGGGCCTCACAGCACCTCCCATCTAGTAAGCTAAGCTAACCCACCGAGCTACAGAAGCGAGATGATGCACTCACTGATGTATCCTCATTATGTATCCCATGTGTGTGTGTATGTATGTGCAGCCGTGTGGTGCGAGTGTTGGTCGACTTGCTTCGCGTTTCGTCCGAGCGGCTGGTGGGTCTGACGAGCGACGCTGCGCTGTTCAACTTCACGTCGATCCACAAGGCCGCGATCGGCCGTGTGTGCGAGGCACTCAAAGAGAGATGGAATGCCATGGCGGACCCACTGAAAGATGTGAGTGACCGACCCAACCACACACACACACACACAGAGGGAGGGGGGAGGGAGGTGGTTGGTCGGTCGCATCCATCAATCAGGTGGATGAGTGCGGTTTGCTGCTGGAGAGTGTCGGCACGTTGGAGGAGTTCCTCACCACCGACTTCAGATACCGAGACTACATCCTCCAGGCAACCACACAACACAACACACGGCACCACTTCACGCGGCCAACCCCTCCCTCCCTGTATGCATCAGTGTGTCCGTGAGGTGGGCGAGCTTGGTGTGCGCGTGATGGCCAAATTCCTGGACCTCGTCAAGACAAAAGTGCGGGTACGTGGTGCGGTGTGTGTGGGGGGCATGCCATGCGTCATGGATGGATGGATGCGGATGCAGAGTGGCGGAGTGCGGAGGATGACGCGTGAGATGGGGGTGTTTGAGGACGACATACTGCCTATCCTCACAGGCAAGCCGCCCACCTGCACCACCTCCAGCCATGTGTGTGTGTGTGTGTGTGTGTGTGATCCTCCGTCCATCCCTCTGTCTGTGTGTCTGTCCACTGATTTGATCAGTGCTGCATCGGCGGCTGAGTGCGGTGACATTCCGTGAGGTGATGAAGGGCATGGCCGTCGCTGTCGACGCCCTCGTCATCGAAACCTACAAGTGACCTACCTACTTACTGCCACCCACTGCACTGACAAACAAGAGCGCAGGATAGGATGCAGGACACTTACACACGTGTGTGTGTGCGTGTGTGTGGCGCCTGCAGGGATCGTCTGCCTTACCTTACCTCTCCCGACGCTCTCGAACTCATCATTGCCAACACGTACACCCCACACCCATGGCATGGGACATCACACTGTTGGTGTCTGTCTGTCTGGCTGCAGGCGCTCTCTGATGGCGGCCTTCCAGAGTTACGGTGCAGTGCCCGAGCGGCACCTGCCCCACACGACAGACCTGCTGCCTCTGCTCACTCTCCCTTCGTCCGAGTGTCAGGTGCTCCTCCTCTCCCTCACACAGCACTTGGATGCTGTCAACCAGATCGAGGAGGAGGACGAGACAGCAACACTCTACGACACGACAGCACGGCTGCTTCCCATCGACCCTTTATTGCTGGGAGGCGGTGTGGCCGAGCGGGTCATGATGATTGGCGGAGGTCTGGCGGGGAGGAGGGGCAACAGGGGCATTGCTGACAGGGCTGCTGTCCAAGAGGGCGAGAAGACACTCAGACAGACACTCGCTGACCTGGGGGTACGTTCGTTCGTTCGGTCCGCACGCCTCGCCGACCTTACCACACACTGAACTCACCCCCCGTGTGTCTGCTGTGTGTGTCACACGCAGGTGAGCCGTTTGTCTCTGTCGGAGGTCTTCCAGGTGCTGGACAAGCGGAAGAGTGTGGAGGTCACCGACACGGCTGCATCAGCACAGCTGCCATGAGGGATCGAGGGATAGAATGGGTGGTTGGTCGAGTCGGCCGATGGACTGATTGACTGAGGACACGTGGGGCATGCAAGCCACTAAGCAGCGAGTAGCTGAACTTTTGTGGAACCTACCTGCATCCGTTGACAGGCGACAAAGTTCGTCTAGTCCTCACAGATCAATGATCACAACAAAGCGGCAACAAACGGAAGCGAAAGACACACAGCGAAACGAAAGGCAATAGCGAAAAAGCAAGCAAAAACGATCAGTCCGAACACGCCAAGACAGCCAGTCGAAACACAAACCGCGACGGACAGAGACGCACACATGGAACGCGCGAAGCACACGGAGCACACAGACACTGTATGCCATGCTCAAGACACACAGCGCCATGCTCACGGCACTTGCACAACGGCCCTGCCGGAGCCGCCGGCTATTGCGAGAGGCTCAGCACATGCACGTCGTCGGCCTGGAAACGCCATTTGCCTCCAAAATACGCCTTTCCATCGTTATCAGCGCCGCCATGCTCAGCTCTCGACCCGCGATACCCCGCAGCCACATCACGGTTGTCCACCCAGTGGCGGCAGCTGAGCACATCATCACCAGGAGAGTCATTAGCCCCACCGGCCAGACTTAGAGTGCCGAGAAACAGCCGAGCAATGCAGAGGCGTACGTTTCCGCCGCACTTCAGAGGCGGGTTGCCCTCCGGCCCGGCAACCGTCACACGCTTCTCCCACGTGTGGAGCAGCTTGATCTTGGTCGGCCCATCGAAGTGCCCGGCCAGCGAGAAATGCCACAGATCACAGCTGTATGTGTCGAATCCTCGTGGATCCTCAGGGAGCTTGAGGCCGTCACCCATGTAGCCCCCGAAGACGTAATCGTCCTTACGGATGACAAACAGCAGGGGCCCTGCGTCGCCCACACAGCGGAGCAGATCTTCATAGCGGGAGCCATCGCAACTCGCCCTGCAATGACAGAAACGACCACATACTCATTCATCATGTATGTATACCACGGGTTTCTACCCCACATACCTGTAGAGCAGCCGCAGCTGCCTGCCGTCCACCCAGCCGCGGAGAGCATCCTGCTGCTCGTCTGTCAGGCCCAACACACCGGCAGAAGCACTGACGGCGGTCGAGCCGGTGGGCGCCTCCCTGGTCGGGCTGTGTTGGGGTTCGGGCGACGCAATCGGTGCCTCATCCGCATGAGAGCCGCTTGCCATTGTCGACTCCAGCTGCCGGATCTGTTGTCGAGCCTCCTCCAATCTCAGCCAACGGCGATGGGAGGGAGCGAGGCACCAACGGCTTATGATCTGGGACAGCAAGAAGGGCGCGGAGGAGATCTTCGAAGTACTCCGTGCAATCTGCAGACCGGGGGATCCTAGAACGGAGAGATCTTCCAAGTACAGCAAGATGGCCGTGGCAGTGTGCAGATGCGCTCTTCACACGTCGAATCGCCCCGTCCTGCGTTCAAACGATCCGCCTATTGCAAGCTTAGCCCGCGAGGGGCTCACGGAACGGAGATTTCTTGGTGCCGTGTGACCACACCGCGGCAGATGTGCGGCATTCTATGGCTGCTAACAAATCGTGAGGAGATCCGCCTCTGCCGCACTTCGTTGCCATGGCTGCCAAACCTCGAGTGTGTGACGCCACTGACAGCCGCCCACATGGGCCGCCTGCTGGACGCCATCAAGAAGCGAGGCCCCGACCACCCAGACGGACACGAATGCAGCACCGACACAGATGAATCGTGCGGTGGGAATGGCTTTGTGGTGGATGCTTATGGGTCGGTGCTGCAGCTGAGGGGCGATGTGGCGGTTCGGCAGCCGCTGAGGAGGAGCCAAGACGGCGATCAGCTGCTCTCATGGAACGGGGAGATCTTCGGAGGGCTGCGGGTGGGGGAGCACGACAACGATGCCCAACGGCTCTTCGAGTGCATCTCGTCCGTCGACGGTGGGGACGATGAGGCCCTCAACGTGCTCGACGCCATCCAGGGGCCGTTTGCCTTTGCGTGGCTGCGAAGGCAGGAACAGACGCAGCAGCTTTGGTTCGGGCGCGACAAGTTGGGGAGGCGGTCACTGATGGTCGCGCTGATCCTGTCGATGCCGAGCTCTGATGGGGTGGCTGGTGCTGGTGGTGGTGGTGCTGCTGCTGCTGGTGTGCACGGCGTCATGCTGTCATCCGTTGGTTGTCAATTTGGCGACGTTGCTAGCTTCAGTGGTGATGCCACAGCTGCTGCCGCCGAGGGCGAGGCCGCGTTATCCCGATTGGCTGGCTGGCCTGGCCGTGGTTATTATCTGAGCGAGTGGGTGGAGGTGCCCGTCGACGGCCTGACCATTCTCTCTCTCTCCCACACCCACGCCGAGTATGCGCCCTTGATGACCCCGACTCACCGGCCGTGGCCCTCGCCGCTCCCCTTCTTCACACACGCCTTCTGGCCGCTGGCGTGTGTCGACGGCGAGACTGAAGCGGCAGTGGACGGCGTCAGTGTGCTGCGTGCCGCGTTGATGTCGTCTGTGGCTGAGCGAGTGCACCACTTGCGGGGGCCCGAGTGCGGCGGGGAGGGCCGGGGGCTGGGAGTGCTGTTCTCGGGAGGGCTGGACTCGACGGTCTTGGCCGCAATGGCTGCAACGGTGAGAGAGGGAGAGAGGGAGAGAGGGAGGGAGGGAGGGAGGGAGTCGGTGGGCGGGCGGGCGTGTGTGTGGTGGGAGAGGGTTGTGAATGTGTGTGTAGGTGCTGGATGTGGACACGCCCATAGAGCTGCTGAATGTGTGTTTCGACCCCAATGAAGCACCCGATCGGCTCACTGCACTCGCAAGGTGAGCAGAGCAGAGCAGAAGATACACGCCTTCTTAAACACGTGTTCATGTGTGTGTGCGTGTGTGTGTGTGTGTGTGTGTGTGACACGCCAGCTACGAGGAGCTGATGGGTCTGTTCCCACGCCACGACATCCGGCTCGTCTGCATCGATGTCGACTCAGGTCAGGCAGACGAAATGAATACTGTACCACTCAGAAGAAGCACTCGTCCATCCATCCATCCCCATGCATCCTCAGGCACCTTATCGGCTCACGAGTGCGCCATCCTGGAGGTGCTGGGCTGCCGGTCGAGCCACATGGACTTCAACATCGGCGCCGCGCTCTGCTTCGCGAGCAGGTCAGTCAGCGGAGCACACGCCGACACACGTGATCGATCCATGTGGGTGCAGGGGGGTTGGGCGTCTCGCGTCGCGTCGCTACATCAGCGCATCCTGGTATCGAGAGCTGCTGGACGACGCAAGTAAGTCGGGGGCTGGGGCTTAAGAGGCCTCCCTCACTGACTCTCTCTCTCTGTTCTGTTCCATCCAGCTCGCATGCAAGGCATCTGGGCGGCCGCAAAGATCTCCCCTGAGGCCCCCGATCCTGCTGGCGGTGGTTCTGCTGGTGGCGGCGGCGAGTCAGGGCCATCGTCGTGTGTGTGCTGCCATGCCAAGGCCAAGCCCGGGTGTGTGCACCAGACGTGCCGCCTCTGCTGCGTCAAGCTGCAACGAGCCTGTGCGCTGACGGAGACAGAGATCGGGCTGACGCAGGTGCTCCCCTCTCCCTCCCCCTTTCCCTCCAGCCAACCGAGTGCTGGTGAGGTGTTGGCTGCCATCCATGCGAGATGGACCGAAGCCGTTGGGCCGGGCAGGGCGCCGTCAGCCACTTGCCGTGTGCACAAAGAGAGGGGGTCAGGGGACCGGCAGCAGCAGCAGCAGCAGCAACAGGACGACAGAGAGCGCACGACGCCATGGCGATTCGACCCGCAATGGTTATAATGGATACCTTCTCTCTCTCGGCATAATTTGATTGTCCCTGAGTGTGGCGTGTGTGTGCTTTCCTGCTTGGTAATGTCAGGTACTATGCCTCCTCAGATGTGGTATATCGCGCTGCGAGCCGGGTGCTGCTTGTGGGCAGTGGTGCAGACGAGCTGCTGGGTGGCTACGGGCGGCACCAGACGGCCTGCAGACACAGCGGCATGGAGGGACTCCGTGACGAGATGCTCATGTAAGCAAGTGGCGGGCAGACATACACACAGACAGGCAGACAGGCAGGGGTGTGTGTGTGGCTTGGCTTGGCTGGTCTTTGATGATGTACTTGACGTGTTTTGAGCCCGTGCATCTGTCTGCTGGGCGCTGCTGCACCACACATCACATGAGATTGCTGAGATCAGCCAGACAGCCAGCCAGACAGACAGACATATGCACACACGCACCCCTCTCTCCACCCCCCACTCTCTCTCTCTCTCTCTCTGTGTGTGTGTGTGTATGTGGTATATGTCTGTCTCTCAGAGACGTTCGCCGTCTATGGCAGCGCAACCTGGGCCGCGACGACCGGTGTCTGGCCGCTCACGGCAGAGAGGCGCGCCACCCCTTCCTGGCCGAGGACGTCATCGCCGCCATCGGCAAGCTGCCCTTCGCCGTCATCATGGGCACCGCCGACCACACCAATGGGACGGGCGGGCGGCGCGAGGACAAATGGCTGCTGCGGCAGGTGGCCAGGCAAATGGGGCTCACCAGATGCGCCCAGTTCAAAAAGGTCAGTGAGAGACAGATAGGGACAGGGATGGGCGACGTGGGCCATCTGCACCTCTCTCTCTCTGTGTGTGTGTGTGTGTGTGTGTCAGCGTGCGATTCAGTTCGGTTCTCGTTCGGCCAAGGAGACCAACCGGAGTCACTTTGAGAGCAACCGAAAGGCGGACGGCTCACACGCCTACAGACCCACATCAATCAGCGGATAGCAGGAGGGGGAGGGGGTTTGCATGTTCGGCGTGTGTCGATCCGATCCATCTGATGGATCGTTGTGTGGATATATGTGTGAGTGTGGTGGGACGAAGGGACTTGACAGCTCCCCCTGCTGATTGATGTTCTTCTTGATCCATCCAGTCACTCAACCAACGTCAGTCTTTCAACAAGCAGGCCAGGCCAGGCATCATCCTCACTCAAAACACTCATCCCCCCATCACCCATCCCATGGACGCAACGCAGCCAGCCGGGGCTGTACATCACTCGAGTGAGTACCCACACACGCACTGGCATACAATTGCTGGTCGAGATACACACAAATTAAGCGACCACAAGCCGTCTTGAGTGGCTTCTTCTTCTTCTAGGCCTTGCAAAGCGTCTGTCTGCGTATGATGGTCTCTGCCTCACAGGCGCTGGGCGCGTGCTTACGAGAGAGACGAGTGGTGCTTACGAGAGATTCCCTGTCTGCCTGTCTGCCTTGCGCACCCATGCACTTTTGCTGCTTGCCGGCTGCATCAACGTGCTGTTTGATGTGTGTCTTCATCGCACAGGCGAGAGAGGCTTTTTGTCCTCTTTGTGTGACGTCGTCCATGCAGAACTTTGACCCGGTCACTAATTTTAATTCGCTCCTTTATCTAAACGTAATGTGTCCGTCCGTCCAGCGATATGCGGGCAGCCATGCCATGCCATGCCATGCCGTGCTGTACATCAATGTGTACGTGTGGGTGGATAGGATCCGCCAGTCGAGCAGCCAGACGCACGCACACCTTTCCAGAAAAAAGAAAAAACCGAGTCGATTGCGGCAGTGCACGGTCGGAAAGACGGACAGACAGACGGATAGGCAGAGACGGACAGGCGGATGAAATTAAAACCAACAGGGTGTGCATGCCACAAAAGAAAAGGGATAGCTGAAGCAAGCCAGCCGGTCGGTCGGTCGGTCGGTCGCCTCCCGCCCCTGCCCGCCCTAGTACGCGTCGTCGTGACGGGAAGCGAGGTGTTTGCCATTCGGCGACTTGGGTATGTCTTTGCGAGCGCAAATGGTCACCAAGGAGTGAAAGCCAGTCTCAGTCGGCAGCTGAACCTTCTCTCGGTGTGTGTCTGTCTGTGTGTGAACTTCCGCGTATGCATACTTGCTTGTACACACACACACACAGTGTCTGTGTTTCGTTCAGGGCCACCTCTTCATCACTGCTGGCTGGATGGTTGGATGGATGGTTGGATGGATGGTTGGATGATCGCTGCCTACATTTTATATTTGGACGGGTGTGCATGGCGGGTTACAATGTCGGTGCCCTCCTATCTCTGCCCGCCGACATTGTAACCCGCCTTTTTTTAGCACACTCGTTGGTTTCTGAACACAAGGCCTTGTCTCCCTCTTTCTCCTTGTCTCTCTCTTTCCTTCTTGGTCACGACACATCGACCCATTGACAGGTGAGTCGAGAGGAGAGCCACAAACACACAGACAGACACACACTTGAAGGCGCGCGTGTGTGTGTGTGTGTGGTTCAGGGCCACCTGCTTATCACTGCTGGAGGGATGGATGGATGATCCGCGAGCCTGAGTATGTGTGTGTCTGTCGTGTGTGTGTTCATCCCATAGCCCCCCACACACACGCATCCACCCTCTGCACTCACTCGGTTGTCTCTCGCTCTCTCTCTGTGTCCACGGGCTTTTGGCCAACTTGGCGATGCCGTGTAGACTTGAGTATTGACTGTGGAGCTTTACTGCAAGTTGTTCTGTGAGATGCCAACACGCACCGCTTCGCCATTCGTCCTTTCCACCAAATTGCATTTCTCACCACTTCACCGCACTGACCCCATCGATACCCCTCGTGCGGCATACCCACTTCTCACACACGCAAGGCCGTTCGCTCAAACCGCCGCACACAGACAGCCCATCACACCAGCAGTCATTCCCCGGCCTCCCAGCCCCAGGCCTCAAGCGCTCATCGAATTCCGTGTGTGTGAATGTCTGGGTGCGTCTGCCATCCACTGCTGCTCACCTGCATTCACCCATTTCGCAAACCTCTCGCCTCATTCATTCGGACTCAGATGAGCGCGGCAGCAGCCTTCATGGGCCCTTTATTGCAATGGGAAAAACTCTCGCAGCCCCAGCGGGTATGGAGGGTTCCAAACCCTGCGAGCTTAGACGTGAAAGGGGGAAGGCGCCCTCCCTTTGTTGAGGAAATGATGTGTCAGCCCGCAGATGGATAACCTCGACTATAGCCTGATTGGTTTCTCAACACCCTTACGCACAGATCAGCAGCAGAGAGACTCACAGCAAGGCCACCAACCATCAGAAGGCTCTTCTCGCTCATATCACTGCTGTCTGTCTGTGTGTCCGGTGCGTGTGCACTGCAGGAGCTCCCGTCGTCCCTCGAGGGGAGTCCATCTCACAGCTGGGTGCACTCACTACGTGCTCGAGCTGTGCGGTCTGAACTCACCGCAGCTGCATCGCATCCACGTGACGTGCGGCCGAGATCGTCTAC